TCTCTCTCTCTCTCTCTCTCTCTCTCTCTCTCTCTGTTCTCCATTGCGTGTAGTTTGGTCGTACGCCTTGATACTGCTGTTTCATCTCACCCTTGCTCTTTTCTCTTGACCCAAACTCATCCCTCCCCCTTCTTCCTCTTAGGACAATTACGTGTGTGTGTATGTGTGTCTCACTCCTTTTCTCTCTCTCCCTCTCTTTTCCACTTCACGTAGTTCGGTCGTATGCTCCGGGATCGCTGTTTCATGTCACCCTTGCTTTCTTCTCGCTGTCGCTTGTCTCTCTCGTGAACCGAGCGTTGTTGCTGTTTGTCCGGAGGCGAGCATTAGATGGAGCGGCCAGAGGAGTCCTGGGCGTGGAGAAGTCGTAGAGCCCTACGAACAATATCAGTCCTGTAGACAGGGAAATGAGGAAGTTGGGACTGCATTCCACAATGAAAGACAGCGATGAGGTCGCTGAGGTATTCCCAGGTGCGTGGGGCGTGTGAGATGTTGTAAATGGGAATTGTGTGGTATGAGCTCAACATGTCGTGGATAGGTGCAGTTGCACTCATACATCCCCAGGGTGCGAGGGGGCGCCACCAATCAGAATCTGTTTCGCGTGTGGGAAGGAGAAGAGGCGGGGGCGTAGGTTGTGTTGAACTGATAAATACGTATTTGTGGTGAGCGTCGATAATGCGGTTGTGTTTGTATTTAAGCGCCGGTGTGAGAACCCGTAGTGCGGTAGTGGTCACGTTGGAGAAGTTGCAGCAGAAAGGTTTTGGATTGTGTGAATCTGGTTGCAACGGAGGGTGTGGGCGGAGGTCGATTGAGTTCTTGTTCACGGTTGTGTTTGTATATGGCGAGGAAGGTGTACCGAGAGGGGGAGAAAGTAGCATGGTCTGTGAGAAGGAAGTCTTCCCACAGAATTTGGTCGATTATGTGTTCAATAGTGTCGGTGTGAAGGACGTGATGCCAAGCATCTCATCTTGTGTACTCATTAGCATTGTCTCAAGAGGTATAGTGTGATTGATAGCAGGGTGCAGGGATATCAAGCTGGCTAAATGCAAGCTCATCTAGACCCTGGTGTTCAAGAATCGAGGGATCTGTTAACAATGATGAAGGAGTTGTAGTGGTTTGTTGGGATGGAGAAGATTGTGTTGTGATAGTCGATGTAGCAGCAGTTGTTGCATGGATGGGGAGGGAAGGAGTTGGAGTGGTGTGTTGAGATGGGGAAGATTGCGTTATGATAGTTAATGTAGTAGTAGTTGCTTGGGAGGGTGTATCTGTCGGTAAGGTAGAAGCGGGAGTTGTCGGGTCAGAGGATGTAGTGTTGAGTTCTTTGGTGATAGTCGGTGTCGTTGGAGTTGGCGAGGTAGATGCAGGAGCCGTTGAATCGGAGGATGATGCGGTCTTGAGTTTTTTGGCGCGAGTTTGTGTCACTGGGGCGCCTGCACAGAGTACAAACAGATGGAAGGAGTAACGTCAGGGGGGGGGGAAAAAGGGAGGAAAAAAAAAAAAAAAAAAACGAAAAATACATTGTGGCAGATAGATTATGCAAGAATTTCTTTATATACAATATTTATTGTTTGATCAGGTTCAGTCGGGAGGGCGAATCGGATGTGAGAAGGGTCACCGACACGGGACGCCGCGACGTAAAGCTGACCATGGGCAAAGGCTGGTTGTCGGAGGTCAATGCCTGCGTGTTTGATGGATTGTCCTTGGGATTTGTTTATTGTGATTGCAAAGGCCGGGCGTACGGGAAATTGTCGTCTTTGCCACGGAAACGAACTTGTTTGATCTGTGATTGAAAGCAGGATTCGCGGGAGTAGAGCGGGTTTGAGTGATGGTAAGATGCGTGCGTGTAGCAGGCGGTTGTTGGTTATAGAGTCAAGAATCAGTCGTGTGTCATTGCAAAGACCGTTTCTCATTGCGATGTTGCGTAAAAGAATGATGGGAGCATCCTTTTTTAGATGGAGAATATGTGGTGGCAGAGATGGCAGGTCTAGAGAATTAAGAGCGTCAATGGAGACGTCAGGGTATGTTTCGTTTGGGAGGAGTGTGTCGACACAAAGTGATGTAATAGGAGAGCCAGAAAATTATTCGAGGATTATTGAGTTTAGGGTTGAAACAATTTTGTTTTTTGGTGCTAGAATAAGGCGCTCAACAAGCCATTCCGGATTATGACAATTCGTTGTCAGATTAGGAAACGTCCATCCGATAAGATCCATAGTTCCTCCGTGGAGGCATAGGTGAGATGAAAGGGTAATCTTGTTGGGTGATGCCGGGTCCGGCAGTGCAGATCACCATTGTCGAGGGCGAGTAACCATTGAGCATATTGATGAGCTTCGGCGGTGTTGTTCAGTGCAAGGACGCGCATGTTTTCGGTGAGGCGCATTGTTTGGAAACGCTCCCAAAGTGGTGAAGACTTCAGACATGCGGCAATTGTTTGTGCGCGGGTGCCTTTGGTGACAACAGGTAAAATTTGTCTGAAGTCACCCCCCAAGACCATAACTTTGCCACCAAAAGGTAAGGCGGAGGAGCAAATGTCTTGAAACGTTCTATCCATGGCTTCAACTTGGTATCTGTTGATCATGGGAGCTTCATCCCAAAGAATAGTGACTGCCATGCGAATGAGATCAGCAAGTGCGCTTTGTTTTGGAATGTCCAGAGTAGAGGTTTCCGTCGGTGTCAGCGGAGCTTTGAAGCAGTGCGAAATGTTCAACCTCCAGTGAGGAGTGTTGTTGCGATGCCACTTGACGCAACCGCAAGAGCAATTTTGTTTTGCATTCGTATATGTGTGAGGATGGTATTGAAGCAGAAAGTTTTTCCAGTCCCTGCAGGAGCATCAACAAAGAGGCAAAGTGGCTCATTATTTCTGTAGCGGTTACAGCTCGTCGAAATAGTGCGTATTGCGATGGTCTGAGAAGTGGAAGGTTGATATCCAGTGTTCGTTGCAGTTCGTGTTTTCTGAAGGTTGACAACCTTCCAGGTCTTTTCTGAATGTAGGCCCTGCCCCACATTCGCAACAACATACATAGGCATTTGGGAGGCGTAATTGAACGAGGCCCAGTAGCAGCAGTAGAGGCCCAACTACCTGGGCCCAGCCAGGCCGCAAGCCAGGCTAGACTCTTTCCATATGGTAAAGTGTTCGCTGCCTGGCATCACATTCGACCACTTACTAGTTTGCGGGAGCGCTGTTGGAGCGATTGCTCGCGTGTTGCTGCTAGCGTTGGGGCAAGGTGATGTGTACGTGCGGTCATGTGGGAAGAAGGGCACAGTTGAGGGCAACGCCATAGCCCAACTTCCATAGCTGGTTGGGCTTGGACATACAGCAAGGCGCGGTGGTGGTCTTCGGGTGTATAGAGGGAAGACAAGGAAGAAAGATGAGGGAGAGAGAGAGAGAGAGATGACGATGATGAT